AGCCAGCGTGAAATAAGTCTCAACACTGTACTTATGCTGTGGGCTACCTTTTGTCTTCTTTTGTCATGTTTTGAAAGCAGAGGATAAAAATAACCGGTATTACATATTGAGATTTTTTTCTGTGAGTGTGAGGTCATAATGACACAGGAGGACGACTGGGCACTGCGCCCACTGGGCACGTGTTGGTCACGGAAACAGCGCCCGTCTCACCCCCTAAAGGGGCATGAACTTTGCTCTTGAATCATCTCTCTGCTGTCTACCACCAATGGAACTTATGTAGCCCAGTTTTGTAATTCCGGGCTAGTCCTTGAAACGTTTCTAAAACAGTTCTCTGTACCAGTTTGCATTTGCTGCAGTGAGATTCTTCCAGTATCGCCAGTAGCGAGAGAGAGAGACCATTGTCTACAGTGCGACCACATGCAACCCTGACTCACTTGCCAGTAACACTTGCGAGTGCCTACAGCACAGCCCTTCACGAAGAGCGTTGGTTCATACGCAACAGGGCAACATGGCTGGCACTTTGACGTTGTGGGCATGAATGAAGGAGACTCTGAAGCTTCTCTCGCCACTTTGGTCTTCAGGGCAAAGCCTTATTTCAGACTATATCTGTGCACCACATTCTGTGGTGGACATGGGAAAAGACAGGATGTGCCCTCTCCCCACTTGTTTTTTACTTTTTAGCATTTTACTTTTTAGCATTGCAGTGGAGATTCTAGCTAATGCAATAAGATAAGTGAAGAAGGAAATCAACCTTTATAGAGGGCATGATCATTTACATAGAAAACCTGAAAGACGTTACAAAAAAAGCGAAAAATAATGAGCATTTGTAACAAGGTTACAGGATACCAGGTTAAAATACAAAAGTCATTCACCTTCCTATAGATCAGTGGTAAACAGTTAGAATTTGAGGTTAACATTTTACAGTATCATCCAAAAAATGAAAGTCATAAATCTAATAAAATACACACAAAATCTATACAAGAAAAAGTAAAATCTCTGACACAAGAAGTCAAAGAAAATCCAAACGACCAGAGGTTTAAGAAAAGGAATGCATGACATTGTGAATATGAGTTCTTCCAGAATACACTGATTGATTCAAAACAGTTTCACCCAAAATCCCAGGGATGGGGCCGGCGCTGTGTGTAGTAGGCTAAGCCTCCACCTGTGGCCCCGGTGTTCCATATGGGGGCCAGTTCCTGTCTTCTTCTGATATAGCTCTCTGCTATTCCCTGGGAAGGCAGTAGAAGATGGCCCAAGAGCTTGGGTCCAGGCACCCATGTGCGAGACCTGGAAAAAGCCCCTGGCTCCTGGCTTCAGATCGGCCAGCTCTGGCCATTGAGACCATTTAGGGGGTGAATTAACAGGTAGAAGACTCTCTCTCTGTATGTGTCTCTCTCTCCCTCTATAACTCTGTCTCTCAAATAAATACGTAAACCTTCAAAAACAAAAATCCACGGAGTTTCTTTGTGGATGATATCAAACTAATTCTGTTTATTGAGAGAGGTAAGAGATACCTTGAAGAACCAGAGAACTGAGGGATGAGCCCACCCACATCAAGACTCATAACAGCATGAAAAGGTGGTGTGGTGTTGGTGACAGCTCAGACACCTACACCAGTAGAGCTCAATGGAGGGCCAAGGAAAGGAGCCACACAGACATCAGCCACCTCGTCTCGATTTCAGGACAAGGACATGCAGTGAAGAGAGGACAGTCTTTCAACGAACTATGCCGGGACAGCAGGATGCATCCATGGAAGAAAGAGAATCTAGACATGTAAACATTTCTAGAGATGGATTCAGAATAGATCCTAAACCTAAATATAAAAGCAAAAATATGACACTTTTAGAAGGCAACCTAGGAAAGATTCTAGGTAACTTTGTGTTTTGTTCTTCTAAACGTTTACTTTTTATTTCCTTCCATCTACTTGAAAGACTCTGTGTGTGTGTGTGTGTGTGAGAGAGAGAGAGAGAGAGAGAGAGAGCTTCCATTCACTGATTCACTCTCCACCCAAGTCTCCCGTACGGGGCCTCAGCTTTTGAGCCGTCATCTGCTGCCTCCCTGGGTGCATTAGCACAGAGCTGGAGTGGAGGTAAAGTCGTTAGGACTCAAGCCAGCACTCTGTTACTGTATCCACACATTCCTTTGGGCACTTAACTCACTGTTCACAACACCCACTACCCAGAGGGAACATTTCAGATACAGCACCAGAGGCTTAATCTATCGAAGAATTAATTTGTAGGCTGGACTTCATTAAAATGAAAACAGTTTGCTCTATGAAAGACACTAAGAGAGTGAAGTGATAGGCTGGAGGGGGGGAGATATTTGCAAAGCATGTACTTGATAAAGACTTCTTAAAGCTCAACAACAGGTTTCCTTTTTGGTGCTCAGTTAGTAACCTGTTAAAGTGAAATGAACACTGTGAGAAACGGTGACTTGATCAGCCCTCACCCTGACTGTTGATGAACAACTTAATATGTTATCCCTCTTAGTATTTTTTTTTTTGTTGATTTGTTCTACTTAATACTTTTGGTTGAATACTGTAATCAATACACAGTTATTCTCAAGTGTTGAAACTTAACTGAAAAGTGATCGCTGTTAAATATAAGAGTGGGAGTAAGAGAGGGAAGAGATGTGCAATTCGGGACATGCTCAAGCTGACTTACCTCAAACGGTAGAGTTAGAAACGTACCAGGGGATTCCAATTCAATCCCATCAAGGTGACATGTACCAATCCCATCTCACTAGTCCCGGTGATCAATTTCTGTTCACAATTGATCATAATGATAGGACTAAGAACCAAAGGGATCACATAAACAAGAATAGTGTCTGCAAATACTAGCTGATAGATTAAAAAAGGGAGAGAACGATCCAACATGGGAAGCGAGATACACAGCAGACCCATAGAATGGCAGATGTCCTAAACAGCACTCTGGCCTCAGAATCAGCCCTTAAGGCACGCGGATCTGGCTGAAAGGCCCATGAGAGTATTACAGGCATGGAAAGCCAAAACACTCTGGCAAAAAAAAAAAAAAAACCTACATGAAAGATCTCTGCGAGTGAGATCCCAGTGGAAAGAACGGGTCATCAAAGAAGGAGGTACCTTTCTCTGAAGGGAGGAGAGAACTTCCACTTTGACCATGGCCTTGTCTAAATATGATCAGAGTTGGTGAACTCAGGGGGCTTCCATAGCCTTGGCAGCTCATGACAAGAGCCTAGGGGGATTACTGATGCCATAAACAAGAGTGTCAATTTGTTAAGTCAACAACAGGAGTCACTGTGCACTTACTTCTCATGTAGGATCTCTGTCCTTAATATGCTGTACATTGTGACTTAATGCTATAACTAGTACTCAAACAGTATTTTTCACTTTGTGTTTCTATGTGGGTGCAAACTGTTGAAATCTTTACTTAATGTATGCTAAACTGATCTTCTGTATATAAAGAGAATTGAAAATGAATCTTGATGTGAATGGAAGGGGAGAGGGAGAGGGAAAGGGCAGGGTTGCGGGTGGGAGGGAAGTTACGGGGGGGCATTGTATTCCATAAGCTGTACTTTGGAAATTTATATTCATTAAATAAAAGTTAAAAAAAAAACTCAACAACAGGAAAATGAACAACAAAACTTCTAAAAATGTGCAGACAGCTCATCCAGAATGCATAGAGAAGACAGATAAGCGCATGAGAACACTTTGTCAACGTGGTACATACATCCTTAGGCTCTGACAAGTTAAAACAGCAACAAGACAACCTCACATCTATCAGAATGATGGAAGCCCCAAACACTGACAACCCCCGGGCCAGCCAGAACATGCAGCAGCAGGACACGCATTCACTGCAGGAAAGAGAGAATTGCCCAGTTTCTCACCAGAGACTTCTTGTGTGATCAGGAGTCGTTCTTGGCTTTTACCCAAATGCAATGAGAACTTAACGTCCAGGCGGACTTTGGGTGTTGGCGTTTCCCGCAGCTTGATTCACTGGAAACGGGGGGCTGTTCTTCAGTAGCTCAGTGAGTAAATCCGCCGTGGTGCGCTCGTACAATGAGATGTTTCTCACCAATTTAAATGTGCGCTACCAAGTCATGGACGGACACCAGTGAATCTCAGATGTGTGTTACAAAGCCAAAGAAACCAGTGTGAGAAAGCTGCGTGTGAGTCCGACTTCATGACGTTATGGCAGAGTGGGACATGTGGACATCGTGAGAAATCTGCGTTGGCCAGGGGTGTGTGTGTGAGGGGGTGACCGAGCAGCCGAGGCACAGGGACGACGTGTCCCGTGGATCCTGTCGAGGGGCCGTCACGTCCGTCAGGAATTTCTCAGCACTTCCTAACTGCACAACACAGGGTGCACCTTGGGCTGTTGCTAATGAGAGTGCATTGATACCCTCGCATCCATTAACAAATAGACCAGGCAAGCCCAGGAGGTCGGTGACAGAGGGGGCGACTGGGTCCCCTTGGAATACTCAGTGCCTCCTGCTTAATGTTTCTGGGAACCTAAAATTGCTCTAGAAAATGAAGCCTTTTTTTCTTTTAAGTTCCATGTTTGAACATGAAGGAGCAGAGAGCAGTCACACATGGGAAAATTTCTCTGTGCACGTTCTGATTTCATCATCCACTTTCCTTCAGGAGAAATAATAGAGCAATGATCTATGCGAAAGATATTTATCATTACTTCAACAAATGTTTATTGAACAACATCTGTCTGCTTAGGCCAGTGCTGTCTGATAGACGTGTAATGAGAAATGCATCAGTAATCAGAATGTCTAGTAGCCATGTTCAACAAGCAAAAAGGTAGATGAATTTGCTTTTAATACCACGTTATGTTTTACCAAATATATCCAAAAGATTGCCAATGCAACATGGAACCCACACAAACTATGATGGAGAAAAAAGGTTCTGTGTTGGGAAAGACAGTGCAGAATGATCTCCTTGTATTAGTGTGTGTCAGTCTATGGAAGTGCACTACCATGCCGGCTAACAGGGTGACTCTCCTTTTCTCAACCAGCCAGAGTGTGGACGTACATGCTAGAGAGGTCCAGACTTGTGTCCCAACCCGTCGGCCAGAGCAACTTTCTCATTTTCTACCTGCTGATGGATGGGTTATCTGCTGAAGAGAAATACGGACTTCACCTGCACCATGTGGGTGCACACCGGTGAGTGATGCAGTTTGCTACCTAAGAGTTCTGCCTTCACGTTGTGACTGCAATTGAGTGGTCTTAAAGGGACTCCTTATTCTCCGGAGAGGAGTCGATGACTTGAAGAAATGTTGGATACAGTTAGAATAGAACAGTTCCTGTGACAGGGTTGTAATTGTTGAATGTCTTGGAAGCGTTCTGTGTGTGTATAAATGAAGCTTCCTGTTTTACTAGATTTCAGATCAGACTGAAAAATCCTGGCACGTGTAGGAACTTTTCCTTGGGGTATTTTGGAGGTACAATGAATAGTGTGTTCCTGGTCTTTGGTTGTGTTTTGAGATGACTGGTAGATATTATTTAAGAAATTACTTGTGAATGATGGAACAGGCTACATCACAGATTAGGACACACAACTCATGGGAACTGAAGGGGTTGGGGCTTCCTCTCTGAGGCAGAAAGCATTTGTGTTCTAAGGAGCAGGCATAGGGCTCGTGGGAGTGGGCGGAGACTCAGGAGGGAGCTGCATTCCTGGCAGCCGGCTGCGTGTGCCCACAAGGACCGGTGCACTTAGGTGAGGATGGAGACCAGAAACAGCAAGGGAGGCCAAGCTCACTCAGCAGCAAAGTCAGAGTGCAGGGGACAGGAGGAGAGATCCAGCCCCTGATCCATCCACCCTCAGGGGCGAATTCCACGGCGGGGGTGGAGAACTGTGCCTCAGAGAGGGGGGAGGTTTGCTTCGGGTTGCTCTTAATCCCCCTTGGTGGCTGGATCTTGAAGGATGAGGTGGGTTTGTGAGAAAAAATACAGGCTAGGATAGAGCAGCCCGCACACAGTCTCACTCGGAGAACTGCTTCCCTCTCTGGGCTTGCCCATGGCCAAGGCAGTGGCCCTGCAAGGTTGGGGCAGAGGAAGCAGCTGGCAGCTGGCCCTGTGCACACACACAGCCTAGCTGTAGCCTGCAGGAAACCTTGCCCAGGTGCTCCCAAGTCTGCTCTGTTGATTTGTCCCTCTTACTCTTATGATCTGGTAGGGGAAGTGTGGGACGTGGGTGATACGGTGAAAATCAGATCAGGGTTGGGGACAGAGGCGGCACTGGGGTCCTGATGGAGCTGGGTTCCTTGGGGGAGGAGGACTCCTTTCCTGTGGTGGGGGGCTGGAGTGCAGACCCCTGTGGGCCCGGCACAGCTCTAGGGGCAGCATCGGAGGAGATGTATGGCAGACGGGCTCTGAGGGAAGGCCCTGGGTGTGGGGAGCTGCAGGCAGGCAGGGGTGTGGTGGGAGTCGATGAGGGAGAGGACAGCAACACAGAAAGGACCGTGCAGGTGGAGATTTGGATTTCATGGTGGGAGTGACCCCGCGTGACTGGGACCCTGAGTGTGGGAGGAATTGGTGTTCACGTTGACGATGACTCCACGTCAGTGGGCTGTCTCTGTTGTCACAGCTAGAAGCAGAGACGCAGCTCTTGGGACATCAGAAGCTGGGGATGCGACAGTGGTGTGGGGGTGAGGTGTGGGGACACGAAGGTGAGGTTCTCGGGGTAGACAGGGTGGGACGTCAGCAAGAACCACACACGGACGTGAGGGGAAGGCATATGTCTGAAAGGACTCCTGCGACTGGCCTGGCAACAGCAGGTGTCACGCACAGAGATGGCAAGGCTAGTAGGAGGCTGGGTCCTTCTCTGGGCAGGGAGAGACAGGGCCGGGGTGTGCACCGTGGCTGTGAGGTGTGGAGGATGGCAGGGTGGGGTCGGGAAAGAGAGGAAAGGACCAGAGACAGATTTACCACTGCCTCACTAAGGTTACCGCTGAATTCCAGTGAAAATGTTACATCCGGGCATAGGCATGATGTCATATTGAGTGGGACAAAAGTGGTTAAAGAGGAAGACCATTATGGGAGTCACCGTCCCCTAAACACAGCAGAGATTTGAAGGAAAGCATCAGTGTCAAAGTGATGACAAAGTGTTGGAAACTCCTCACTTCTAGGATATCAGAAAGTTTTCGCATCAAAGTCCCTCGTTTTGCGTCCGAGGAAATCAAACCCAGAGCCATGAAGAAGCTGAATATTATTCTTAGTGGTGCGTTGTGCCTGTGACTACAGGGTGGAGTGAAATTAGGTTTCTGCAAAAATTAAAGGGAAAAAAGGAAAGGAGAGGGGTGGAGGGAAGGAAGTGTGGTTCTCTTCCTAGAAATGTGTCTGTGGGATGCATGAAATCTGTTCTCTATGAATTAATAAAAATTTTAGAAAGTTTGTACTGACATGAATACATCACCTGACAGAAACTCAAAAAGTGTGCACAAAAAATGAGGTAGCGTGGCCGGCGCCGCGGCTCACTAGGCTAATCCACTGCCTTGCGGCGCCGGCACACCGGGTTCTAGTCCCGGTCAGGGCGCCAGATTCTGTCCCGGTTGCCCCTCTTCCAGGCCAGCTCTCTGCTGTGGCCAGGGAGTGCAGTGGAGGATGGCCCAGGTGCTTGGGCCCTGCACCCCATGGGAGACCAGGAGAAGCACCTGGCTCCTGCCATCGGATCAGCGCAGTGCGCCGGCTGCGGCAGCCATTGGAGGGTGAACCAACGGCAAAGGAAGACCTTTCTCTCTGTCTCTCTCTCACTGTCCACTCTGCCTGTCAAAAAAATAAAAATAAAAAAAAAATAAAAAAAATGAGGTAGCGGATAGGTGTACTGTGGTATAAAAAATAGAAATCTATGCGTGGCCTTGGCTAGATGGGCACTTTGCACAGAGTTCCTGAAGACCCCTTTTCTTTTTCCACCTTGAACAGCTATGCACTCAAGCACTGGGTCAGATACGGTGGCCTGGAGGTTTGCATTTCTCTGCCCCATGTTTCTCACCGGCCAGAGCTGCAAGTCGGGAGCAGACACTGGTTGCAGGGATGGGAAATGTCCCGCCCACAAAAGCATCCGGAGTGACCCTGCCAAGGCAACCCCAAGTCCAGACTCAAATTTCAGTACAGCCGTAACGGGTTTGTTTTTCAAGCGGATTGTTTTCTGTGGCCCATGAATGGTGGTATAAACACCCGAATGGGCTTGGCAGAGAGAGTTCCCCAGCCCTGGGGGTGTGCTGTGTCCACGCACAAGCATTCGTGTGCTTTGTGGCTGCACATGCAGTGACGTGTGCCCCCACGTGTCCTTGGCAAGCGGGGACAAACAGCCATGGGAGAATCCGGAGCAGTGATGTAACCTGCCATTCAAGGAGACGTTTCACTTCTTGGTCTGTGGCTTGGACGCGTCTTTTGAAGTGTGTGCGAGAAAACAAAGATCCCTCTATTGAACTTCCGTTCTTGACAATGGTTTCTTTTAGCAAGAGGGTTTGGAATCATTTAGGCTATTTAGAAAGTCAAACTGTCAGGAGTGCTTTTGTGAGGCGTTCCAGCGGGAAAGAACTCAGGAGTCATGAATAATTCAATTCCCCCGAACAAAGCAGTTTTTTTTATTAACAGTATTAAGAATATAAAACAACATTTTCCAATAAAAAATGCCATCATCACTCCAGGTTCATAAAGGCATCAGAACCCTTGTGCAATGACAGGAGCAAAATTCACTCTTTATGGTAAGGCAGCGGTTTGTCTTGCAGCCCCAAGCTGCACACCCCGTGTGTTGTGGTTGTGTCCGTGTTACTGGATCTTCACATTTTACAGGGCTGGGGAGGCCTGTGGAGTTCATATTAGTTTGTTATTTGAATCTGGGTTCAGATCTAATCTTTGATTTGTTTACAATCAGAAATACAGACCTGGCCTTGCTGGCTTTCTAAACTTTCACAAACCCTTCATGGGGAGTCTTGCTGCCAGATCTCTATGCGCGCAATGCCGAAGCTTTGCTGGCAGCATGCTGTGGTTAAGAGTGCCTGGTCTCCTCCTCTGCCTCTCTGTAACTCTGACTTTCAAATAAAAAAGAAATGGGGCCAGAGCTGTGGCGTAGTGGGTAAGGCCCCTGCCTGCAGTGCTGGCATCCCATATGGGCGCCGATTCCAGTACCAGCTGCTCCGCTTTGATCCAGCTCTCTGCTATGACCTGGAAAAGCAGTGGAAGATGGTCCAGGTCCTTGGGCTCCTGCACCTGCATGGGAGACCTGTAGGAATCTCCTGGCTCCTGGCTTCTGATCAGCACAGTTCCAGCCATTGCAGCCATCTGGGGAGTGAACCATCAGATGGAAGACCTCTCTCTCTGTCTGTCTCTCTCTCTGTCTCTGTCTCTCTCTCTCTCTCTGCCTCTCTGTAACTCTGACTTTCAAATAAATAAAGAAGAGTGCCTGGTATGCATAAATAATAATACGCTGTTATTAAGAGTGCTTGCACTGTCATCAGAGCTAGTTACCTGATTTTCTTTTTATTTTTTAAGATTTATTTATTTGAAAGACAGAGTTATAGAGAGAGGTAGAGACAGAGAGAAAAAAAGAGGATCTGCGCCAATCCGAAGCCAGGAGCCAGGAGCTTCCTCCAGGTCTCCCACGTGGGTGCAGGGGCCCAAGCACTTGGGCCATCCTCCACTGCTTTCCCACGCGCTTTACCAGGAAGCAGGATTGGATGGAGCTGCCGGGACTCAAACCAGTGCCCGTATCGGATGACAGCGCCACAGGCCAGGGCTTTACCCGTCTGTGCCACAGCAAGGGCCCCAGCTGATTTTGTTTAGAACGACGTTGACATTTCTGTTAAGTGGATTTCGACTGTCCATCAGCATCTGTGTATCCCGCAGCCTCTGTCCTGACACACGGCACAGTGCAGCTTGGAGCGGCATCTTAATGAAGTGCATTCAGTCACTCCAGCATATTGCCAGCATGCTTGCTTCAAAGCTTTCTTCCTCTTTATTCCTAACAACTCCTGACCCACGTGAAGCGATGTGTGAACATGTAACCGGAGCCGAAGGTCTTCTCCATACGAACATCTTCTTACGTAATTGGAACTCAGAAGAAAAGCGTTGCGTCGCTGATGGGTTTATAATTAAGGCCACAAGCATGATTTTCACTTTGTTTCTGGAACTCAAAGTTTTCCACGTATCACATAAAATGG